CTGGCTAGATCGATCTCCACATCTGCTGCCAATTCGTACCAGCATTGCAAGTTACCCGGGGGGGGGGGGGGGGGGTTCACACAGTTTTGGTATATATCTTTGTTCAGGCCATCCATAAAACTGTCCATTAAAGCTGCTTCCTACCAACCCGCATATAAACGGACAGTTAACAAAACTCTTGTATGTATTCAGCCACTGGGTTCTTTCCCTGGGTAGGGGTTTTCATTTTGGTTCTGGCCTTCCGCTCAGTGAGCGCGTCATCAAAGCGTTTTCTCAGGGCAGCCATAAACCTATTATAGTCTCTCAGCAGGGGGGAGTCATAGTTATGCAGGGCAACCATCCATGCCGCTGCCTTGTTCTCCAATGCCATGGTAACAACTCTTACCTTGGCTTCTTCGGTGGGGAGATCCTCTCCGAACTGTTGCATGAAATTCCAAACTTGGACCAGGAAAAATCTTAGTTCCTTTGGGTCACCTCCAAATTTCACAGCAAATGGAGGAACTTTTGCCATCCAGCATCTGCCGGGGGGGGGGGGGCTCCTCCTCTTGGAAGGGCTCTTGTGGCTGCTGCTGCTGCCGGGGCTCCCCCATCCTGATCAGCTCCACTGTCTGCCCCCAGGGCCCCCCTTGGGTGAAACAGGTCTTCTCCTCTAGATCTGGGAGATCAGCTTCTCCTTTGGACATGCTCTTGCGTAAACGTCGTCTCTCCCAAGCCTCCTGGAAGAGTTTCATAGCGTGGGACATCATGAGATCCTCCTCGTCGGCATCCTGCCAGGCAGCTGCTGGTCGCCGATGTCGCCTTGTGGTAACTCCAGCTGGAATTTCCTCAGAGTCATACTTCTGTCCCACTCCCAACGACCACCTGGAGCGGGCGGACGTTTCCTCCAAATTCAGTTCCGCTATCCGCTCCGTCTCCAAGGGACACGAGGATCCAGCCGCCCCCATGTCGTCCTCCTGGTCGCTGCCTGGGTTGGACATTCCTTTGAAGGTTTTGGTTTTATTTACACTCCCCTCGGAAGGTGTTAGCTCCGGGATGAGTGCAAAAGTGAGACCTTGCTTAATGTCAAGCCAGCTTCCCTCAGCAACCAAGAAAGAAACCACTTAACTCCATTTTGCAGAATTAAGAGTACTTTTACTGGTTATGAAAAGATAGCAGCTAAGCAAAGCAAGGTCTGAGGCAAAAGTGCGCGAAATCATACATATCAATATTTGTCCAACTCCCTCCCCCCCGGTAACCCCCATCCCATTGTCCGATCTGCAAATCCCTCAGGTGTCATGTGGGTTTCATCTCCAAAGAGCATCATCAGGTTGGTATACAG